AATAAACTAAAATAAAAATATAAAACCAAAATAAACTAAAATAAAAAATATAAAACAAAATAAAATAAAACAGAAATATAATAAAATAAAAATGTAAAAAGTGCAATTTTAAAAATTAACTATGATTAAATTTAAAATTAAAAAATATAATTATTTTTAAAAAAAAGACAAAGTAAAAATTATAAAATAAAAAGTTAAAATCGGAAAATAATAAATAAAATAAATTAAAATAAACCCCAGTTCTTTGTGTCACTCCTTTAAGGTAAAACATCCCACACTCCAAAAACCCCCCAAAACTGGATAAAAGAGATCAAGGAAGCTACAACCAACTGTGAAAAGGCATCAGGGAAGTGTCAGGAAAAGCTCTACAAGACATTTCTGGAATTGCAGATACAGAGATTTCAGTTTTATTCATATTTTATTATTTACACAAACGCCCCCCAGTCCTTGCAAGGACTGAGCTCGACCCTCCCGGGTTTAAATCAGGTTTAAGAGCCCCAGGCCCGGGGTTAATACTGTTAGTGGGGGCCTGGGAGGGCCCTGGGAAACAGGGATTCTCCTTTGGAAAAGTGGTGTAGTGCTTGGCACTGCCAGCTGGAGCGGCTGGATCTGCACAGAACCAGCCTGGAATTCCAGCACAGAGGTTGGATCCATAGAAATCCACTCTGGGAATGGAGCACAGACCATGGATCTGCACAGAATCAGCCTGGAATGGAGCAAGACCATGGATCTGCACAGAACCATCCTGGAATTCCAGCAGAGAGGTTGGATCCAAAGAAATCCACCCTGGAATGGAGCACAGACCATGGATCTGGTAGAGAACCAGCCTGGAATTCCAGCATAGACCATGGATCTGGCACAGAACCACCCTGGAATTCCAGTAGAGAGGTTGGATCCATAGAAATCCACTCTGGGAATGGAGCACAAACCATGGATCTGCACAGAACCACCCTGGAATTCCAGCAGAGAGGTTGGATCCAAAGAAATCCACCCTGGAATGGAGCACAGACAATGGATCTGCACAGAATCAGCCTGGAATTCCAGCACAGACCATGGATCTGGCACAGAACCATCCTGGAATTCCAGCAGAGAGGTTGGATCCATAGAAATCCACTCTGGGAATGGAGTACAGACCATGGGTCTGCACAGAACCACCCTGGAATTCCAGCAGAGAGGTTGGATCCAAAGAAATCCACCCTGGGAATGGAGCAAGACCATGGATCTGGTAGAGAACCAGCCTGGAATTCCAGCACAGAGGTTGGATCCATAGAAATCCACTCTGGGAATGGAGTACAGACCATGGATCTGCACAGAACCACCCTGGAATTCCAGCACAGACCATGGATCTGGCACAGAACCACCCTGGAATTCCAGCAGAGAAGTTGAATCCATAGAAATCCACTCTGGGAATGGAGCACAGACCATGGATCTGCACAGAACCATCCCGGAATTCCAGCACAGAGGTTGGATCCACACAAAACCACCCTGGGAATGGAGTACAGCCCATGGATCTGGCACAGAACCTCCCTGGAATTCCAGCACGCAGGTTGTCTCCACACAAAACCAACCTGGGAATGCCAGCACAGCCCACAAAATGCCCACAAGGTGCAGACAAGTAAAAAAAGAAAAAAAAAGGGGGGAAAAAAAGTCTTTTTTTTTCTCTATAAAAAGCAAATTAATCCATTTATTGCACAGAGAAAGGAAGGGTTGACCTAAAGCAGCGCTGCAGGCTCCAGATCCCTCCCCTTTTTCCAGGCTGACCCCCGGGCAGGGCAGCAGCTGGAATTTTGCTGCGTTTGAGCCAAGAAATTCCAGCAGCAAGGTGCAGCAGTTCCACATTCCCAGGCTTTCCTGGGAAAAGGGAGGCACTGCAGGACCAGCAGCCCCAGGGAGAAGTTGCCAACTCGCTCTTTGCTCCTGTAGTAACCGAGGTGCATCCTCTGCTCCAGCTCCCACTCTGCCCCAGAAACACCCAAGGATAGGGTTTTTTTTTGGGAGCAGCCTCTTGGGAAAGGCAAAGAGCCCCCCATCCCTCAGTTTTTTTAGTCTTCCCAGCCAAACTGGAGCCCCAGAGGGAAAGCCCAGCTCCTGGAGAAGGAAGGATGTGTTTGGGTTTTGTTTTTTGGGTTTTTTTCTCCAACCACACCCAGGGTTTAAAAAAAAAAAAAGCTGAAGAAACCCCAGTTTTTAAAAAGGTGCCTGGCAGAGTTGGCACAGTTTAAAACTGTCATTACTTTTACTGCTAATTAAACCTCCCCCCCCCCTAAGTTTTTAATTAAAATGACTTGGCACTTTCCCCATGGGCATGGAATGACTTTGGTGCAGCACTACCAGGTGGAACCTCTGAGCAGTCTCAACATTTTACCACAAGACTGGGAAGGAAAGGGCAGGTTCCTTCAGGCATTCAAAGAACTATTAGGAAGCAAAATGACCAGAAAAAAAAAGAGCTTTTTTTTTGTTTGTTTGTTTGGTTTTTTGTCTTTTAACAGGAGTAAGAGGTGAAGGGCACATAAAGGATAAATAGCTTATAAGGTGTGTGGGGGAGGTTGCAAATCCCCCCCCAGTAAAACATGGAAGCTTTGCTCCTGTCAATGTAAACATCTCAAGTGTTGCAGAAACTCCTACAGATGCTTCTAAACACTTCTAGCCTAGAGTTTTTTTGTTTTGTTCTGTTTTTTTTGCTTTCTCCTTCCTCTCCAACCGCTCTGGAATTAGTGCCATCGATGAGAGACCGGGATGGATCCGTGTGGCCCCCGCAGTTCCTGGGAAGAGCTTTTCCTTCACTGAGTAAAGCCTGGCGTGGGCACACAGACAAAGACACACACACACAATGCTTTGCTTGGCTGGGTTGGTGGTGTGGGATTGGCAAAAAAGAAAAAAAAAAAAGGAAAAAAAAATAAATCCCTTTTAGTTCAAGGGCGTGGGTTTTTTTCTCTGCCTTGTTCGCACAATTCCACGGGAAAAGCTGCAGTGGGATAACTGGCACCGGTGGGGTGGGCTGGGATTGCTCTGGCTGCTCCTCAGCGTGGAACAGCCCCGAGGTCTCACCTCTCTGAGCAATCTCCTGGCTGCTGGTCCCTGTCCCAGCCAGGCTGGGCACGGAGCTCCACCCGGAGAAGCCTCCTGCAGAGTTTGGGGAGGGGGGAGTTCCCCCGCAATTCCAAAATCCTGCTGCGCCTCCTCCTCAAGTCGAGTCATCCAAGCCTTTATTTGGGTGCTCAGAGCTGGACTTGCAGAGCCTGTCCATGATCCCCTGCAGCATCGGCTGGACAATCCCCAGGAGAGGGCGCTGGGAGGAGTCCCCATCCCAGCAGGCTTCCATCAGCTGCCAGCATTCCTCATCGAACACCGGGAGACGCTCCGGGCGCACTCCTGGAAAACACGGAGGAGGAGGAAAAGGTCACACCGAGACATCAATGAGGCTTCTCAGATCGTGGACACGTCCAGAGGATGGGCAGCACAGGGAAGCATGGAATCACAGCCTGGTTTGGGTTGGAAGGGACCTTAAAGACCCTTCGGGATTTAATAAAGGGTTTCAACACACAACAGTGGAGTTTCCAAGGATGGAGATCACTGGGGAATCATGGAATCCCAGAATGGTTTGGGTGGGAAGGGACCTTAAAGATCATCCCATTCCACCTCCTGCCACAGGCAGGGACACCTTCCACTAGCCCAGGTTGCTCCAACCTGGCCTTGGACACTTCCAGGGATGGGGAAGCCACAGCTTCTCTGGGCAACCTGTGCCAGGGCCTCCCCACCCTCCCAGGGAGGAATTTCTCCCCAAAATCCCACCTAAACCTGCCCTCTGGCAGTTTAAAACCATCACCCCTTGTCTTGTCACTCTCTGCCCACACAAAAAGTCCCTCTCCCTCCCTTTTTAAGCTTTAAGGTCTCCCTGGAGCCTTCTCTCCTGCAGGCTGAGCCCCCCCAGCTCTCCCAGCACATTTATTTTCACTGGAGCCTCCTCTCTGCAACTCTTTGGGAGCAAAATGAATTCTAAGGAAACAGGTGCCCCCCACCCACCTGCACATTCCAGTGCCTTTGGGAGCCAGTTCAACGTGGGAACGAGCAGCAAGTGCAGCCTCCTGGCCCAGTGTGAGACTCACTCATCTGAGTTAATCTTTTTCACATGAGAAGGGGAGAGTTTACATGGACAGGAACTAAGGGACGAAGGATAAAACATCCTGATCCCAGGACACAGCACAAAGGATTGAGCTGCCAACAAAACCCAGCACTCACTGAACCCACCCAGGCACAGGAGTGAGTTTATATTTTGGGGAACACCTGTCCCAGTGTTTCTCTCCACACCCAGCTCCCTCAGCAATGCTGCACATGGAGTGTTTGGATGTACAGAAACCTCCAGGAACTGCAAGGGATTAAACATTCCTCAGGGGATCAGGCCTGGCTGGCTCTGGGGGCTGGGTTACATCACAAGGCTTGTGCTGCTCCGTGGTTTCAGAGTGTGCAGGCACAGCTCCTGTGGTGCTGGAGAAGAGCTGCTCAGCCAAAAGTCCCTTTTTATCCTGCTCATTTTAGTTCAACTTTCAGTAGAACTTGTCTAAGGTGAACCAGTAAATGTTACTCTTTAGAGTGTCCCAAAGCAATGGAAAAACATCCTGGCCTGGATCAGGAAGAGTGTCCAGCAGGAGCAGGGCAGGGATTGTCCCCCTGTGCTGGCACTGCTGGAACCTCAAATCCTGTGTCCAGTGCTGGTCACTCAGTTCAGGAGGGACATTGAGGGGCTGGAGCGAGTCCAGGGAAGGGAACAGAGCTGGGAAGGGGCTGGAGCAGCAGGAGCAGCTGAGGGAGCTGGGGGGGCTCAGCCTGGAGAAAAGGAGGCTCAGGGGGGACCTTCTGGCTCTGCAACCCCGACAGGAGGGGGGAGCCAGGGGGGGTCGGGCTCTGCTCCCAGGGAACAAGGGACAGGAGGAGAGGGAACGGCCTCCAGCTGTGCCAGGGGAGGGGCAGGTTGGACACAGGAGGAATTTCTCCATGGAAAAGGTGCTCAGGCATTGGAAGGGGCTGCCCAGGGAGGTTTGGAGTCCCCACCCCTGGAGGTGTCCAAGGCAGGCCTGCCTGTGGCACTCAGTGCCCAGGGCTGGGGGACAAGGTGGGGATGGGGCACAGGGTGGACTCAGTCCTGGAGGAATCTTTTCCAACCTCAGTGACTCTGTGAACTTGTACTTCTACCTTCGAGTTATGAGAAAATAAAAATGCCCCCTCATCCCCCCAAATTTTATTCCAGTGAAGCACCCGAGTCCAACCAAGCCTCTGTTACCTCTCCTAACGTTGTTCCACAGGTGATCTTTGCTTGCACATCTCTCAAAAGCCTCTGGTAACTTCACGTGGCCTGAGCAGATGTACCAGAAGAGAATTCCAAAGGCATAAACATCCACGGAGTTATCATATTTCCCTGGGACAAAAGCACATCTGGTCAGCAGGACAAGCATCACCCTCACCACTGGACACCGAGCAGGCTGAGAGCTCAGTTAGTGTTCAACTCCTTCAAATTCAAACCACAGATTCATGGTCAGAAGGTGAGACTTGTGTGAAGGAACACATCGGGTAAAGGATAAAAGTTAAGATTTTCCAGTTGTCAGGTTTTTACACTTAACCTGTACCTGCAGTTCCCAAACTGAGGGTCGTGGACCAGTGCAGGTGCTCAGATGGATTTCAGAGTTAAACACCAACATCAGACTCAGCTCTGCCTGGCCCAGGATGTCAGAGCCAAACATCAGCCTCTCAGCCCAGGAATTGGGCAATTAATCACTCACAGGAGGTTCACTCTCTAAATTGGCCAAGACTGAGCACCCCAGGTGCCCCAGGGCTAAGCCAGTGCTCAGGTCTAAGCTCAAGGTCCAGCCTGTGGCCAGGAGAATTTCCCTGTTAATAAGAATAACATCCTCCAAATTAAACACAAAGAGGGTTGACTCAATTTGATTTCAATCTTATCCAAGCAGGGGCAGCTCTGACAGACCACAGGGATTCTGGTGAGTGAGATATGAACCTCTAAGTGCTACTGGAAGACTCAGGAAAACCCTCAGAGTGAATTCAAACACTCCACAGGACAGAACAGCTTGGGAATTCCTTACAGGAGATCCTTCCTGAAGGATCTGCCTATGAAAGCCAAGTACTTCCAGCTTCCTAATAACTAATAATTTAACTTTCCAACAGCAGAAGTATCAACCACTTCAGCAAAGCTTATCAGCCCCACAGTTCTCTTTCAAGACTGACCCTTAAAAAATACACTGGAAGCAGGTCATCTGGGGTTTGTCTTTTTATTACTTTCCCCTCATCATGGCCTTCAAAATTCCAGGCAAGGGCAGGCCAGCAGCGGGCTCAGGGGAGGAACATACCTGTGAAGAGCTCAGGAGCCATGTGGATGGGTGTGCCCACAATGCTGCCAGACATCATGGCCTCTGGTTTGCAGAACCCCAGGTCAGTGATTTTGGCTCGATTCTTCTTGTCAAGCTGCAGAAGAATCCCCACAGAGGCAGCTGATAACCACCCTGCTCAGTCCCAGGGCTGCCTTGTAGTGCCAGGGCTCTGAACTGTTTACACTGGGAGGGTTGGGCACTTGTTCCTGCTCTGATTACCTGGCTGCTCCTGGACACTCACCTTGCTGAGCTCAGTACCAGGACATGCCTCCACCTGTCTCCTACACCAAGGGTGTGGCTGGCATTTAAGAGGACCAGGAACTGGAAATCCCACTTGGAGCTCAAGCTGCCTACACTCCAGAGAAGCCATTCCACTGCTCCCTTTGCCCCAGGCCTCAGGCCAGAAGAGGAGTGAGGGAAACCTCCACTGCCAGGCCAGTTGTGGCTGACACCACCACAGCTTAGGGAGGATCTATTCCTTCACTTCAGCTTCTCCCTCCCACTACAAAGGTATTGGGAGACTCCAGATGCCAGAGTGCTCCTTACCAAGACATTTTTGAGTTTGATGTCCCTGTGCACCAGCCCCTGGCTGTGCAGGTACCGGATCCCTTCCACCACATCCAGGGCAATCTGCAGC